TGAGCCCAGGAGTTGGAGGTTGCTGTGAGCTATGCCACGGCACTCTACCCAGGGGGACAGCTTGAGGCTCTGTCTCAAAAAAAAAAAGAAGTAATTATGGAAAGAGTGGAGAATGGCTTAATAGGAAACTCAGAGCAAAGACCGGAAGGTGGGAAACCAACCCATCCAATTTTGTACAGACTATGAGCTAGGAATAATCTTGCATTTTTTATATTTTTTTTAATTTATTTTTGAGATGGGATCTCTGTTGCTGGGTCTGGAGTATAGTGGCATCATCATAGCTCACTGCAATCTCAAACTCCTGGGGGCTCAAGCAATCCTCCTGCCTCAGCTTCCCAAGTAACCGCGACTACAGGCATGCACTATCATGCCTGGCTAATATTTTCTGTTTTTTTGTAGAGACATAGTCTCCTCTTACTCAGGCTGGTCTCAAATTCCTGAAGAGGAACATAGCTTTGAGGAAAAACTCAAGTGATCCTTCTGCCTCAGCCTGAGTAACTGGGACTATAGGCATGCACTACCACACCTGACTAACTTTTCTGTTTTTTTTGTAGAGACAAGGTCTCCTCATGCTCAAGCTGGTCTCAAATTCCTGAGCTCAAGCAATCCTCCTGCCTCCACTTCTCAGAATGGTAGAACTACAGGCATGAACCAACATGCAGGCCATGCATTGCACTGAGTATATTCCTCGCTTGTAAGCCATTTTTAGAATTATTTCTGATTCTTCTTTTTCTTTTTAGCATGTCATGACATTGTAGATTCATCACTTCCATGCATTGCATGCTGCACATGTTCGTTGAGAAGACTATTAAAAGAACATTTTGTGACATATTATATACATAACGATTATTCAAAAATTCAAATTTCAGTGTTCATAAATATAATTTTATTAGAATACAGGCATGCTTGTTGAACTGTGTATTAGCTATAGCTGCTTTCACAATATAAAAGCATGAGTGAGTAGTTGCCCCAGATCTTAAGTGGCACTCTCACTGCTGCCTGGCACACTACAAATCACAAGGATGCAGTTATAACATCACTGCAATTTGAGTGCCAGGCCTAATGCCATACTGTGATACTTTATTTATTTTTTGAGACAGAATCTCACTATGTCGCCCTTGGTAGAGTGCCACAACACCCAGCTATTTTTATTGTTGTTGTTTAGCTGGCCCAGGCTGGGTTTGAACCCGCCAGCCTCAGTGTATGTGGCTGGTGCCATAACCACTGTACTACAGGCTCTGAGCCTGATACTTTTTTTATTACCAAAGTATAACATGTTAAAACAAGAAAAGTGGACTCTGAATGTCATTTTTTTTTTTGAGACAAGAGTCTCACTTTGTCACCCTTGGTAGAGTTATGGCATCAAAGCTCACAGCAACTTCCAGCTCTTGAGTTAGGCGATTCTCTTGCCTCAGCCTCCCGAGTAGCTGGGACTACAGGCGCCCGTCACAATACCTGGCTATTTTTTTGTTGCACTTTGGCCGGGGCTGGGCCTGAACCCGCCACCCTTGGTATATGGGGCCCGCGCCCACTCACTGAGCCACATGCATGGCCCCTGAATGTCACATTTTTAAGACACAATAGAGTGTGGATTACTTTCTTATCTAATTAAATGGCTAAGTGTTGTGTTTATTATGCAAGGACACCATATGGCTTAACATTGCCATGCTAAGCATTTAACACTATTTCCAAATCCCAGGAAAGTACCAGTCCGAAAAATTAGAAAATCTGAAATAGGCTGTACACAGTTGCTCATACCTGTAATCCTTGTACTCTGTGAGGGGAAGGTAGATTGCTAAAGTTCAAGAGTTTAAGTGTTCCAGCCTGAGCCAGAATGAGACCTGAGCAAGAACAAGATCCTATCTCTAGCTACTTAAATTAGAAAAACCAGCTAGGCATTGTGGCAGATACCTATAGTCCCAGCTGCTTGGAAGGCTGAGCCAAGAGGATTGCATGAGCCCAAGGGTTTGAGGTTGCTATGAGTTAGGATGCCATAGTACTCTACCCAGGGTAACAGAGTGATATTCTGTCTCAAAAAAAAAAAAAAGAAAGAAATTCAAGACCAGCCTGAGCAAATGTGAGACCCCCATCTCTTAAAACAAAAAAATAGCCAGGCAATACGGTGAGCACCTGTAGTCCCAGCTACTCAGAAAGCTGAGGCAAGAGAATTAATTGAGCCCAAGAGTTTGAGGTTGCTGTGAACTGTAACACCACAGCACTCTACCAAGGGCAACAAAGTGAGAGTGTCTTGAAAAAAAGAAAGAAAAGAAAATTTCAAACAGAATTTTTTTTTTTCCTGTGGAGACAGAGTTTCACTTTATCGCCCTCGGCTGTGGCGTCACAGAGCCCATAGCAACCTCCAACTCCTGGGCTTAGGCAATTCTCTTGC